CAGGGTTTTGCAGCAAGAAGACCTGGCAGGCAATGGCTGCATTGCCCACAGAGCTCTCTCAGTGCTGGTGGAGAAACTGAGGGCAGCGTGGCAGGGTGTCTTCAGCAGCACAGCAGCTCCAGGGGACCCTTAGGGGAAACACACCTGGGCAGCATGGCCCCAATAGAGAAAACACTGTTCTCTCAATGGTGTCACTTAAAAAAAAAAAAAAGAAAAAAAGAAAGAAAAACATTGAAGTGAGGGCAAATGTTTTCCAAAGGTCAGAAGAAAACACAGAACCTCAAAATAGGAAAGAAGTGGCTGAGGGCTATCAGAGCAATCTGCTCAGTTGGCCTCCAACAAAGCACGTTTGAATTGAACAGTTGCAGAGGAGTTTTCAGAAGGCTTGGTTAACATCCCCCAAAGGAGACAATGTTTTTATTTCAAAATTGCCAGCAAACCAAAAAATTTCATTTTCCTCCATCTCTATTTGTAAGTGAATATTCACTGGGATATTTGATAGCTGTAATTTACTCTTTGAGCTGTGTAATTAGCCACCTCAATCAAATGGCATCATTTCTATCTCTGCTCAATGAAGAACCGCTCTGCTGCAAATCAGACCTGAGCACGTCACAGGGCTGGGACCACTGCCCACAGCCAGCACTGCCTTCCTCTCAAGGCTCAGCCTTGATTGGGGATGGAAAACCTCTGGAATTAAAAGGTGGGGCAGAGCAGTGAGTTGGCTCACGTGGAGGGGTAGAAGGAGGAACTGGGGGGGGGATTTTGGTGGATTTTCCCCTACTTGGGGTGCTTTGGGGTATGGGAAAAGGCAGGGAGGGAGGTGCAGGGGTACCAGAGGTTCTCCTTTTTGTACCTGTGAGCATCGCAGAGCCATCGCTGTGCAGTTATTCAGTTTTATGGACCTTCAATCAAACAAAGAGAGAATTTCCCAGGGCAGAGAGGAGCCGGCGCTTCCCAGCGGCCGTTCAGCTTTTGTGCCATTTATTCCTGAGCAAAACCCCTGCACCAGGGCAGGCAAAGCGCATGGCCAAGGCTGCAGAGACCCTGGATCCCTTCTTTTGCTGGAGTTCTTGCACTCAATGCTGCCTTCAGTGCCCCGGCCCTCATTTCCTTGCTGGCAGACTTGAAAGGGAGAACTTTTCTTTCCCATTCTCCTATAGCAATAACAATCCCTCGTTAACACAATAAAATTAATCCTTGTGCTGCAATCAGGAAGCCATGCTTTCTCTGAGCCCTAAATAACATAATTCCTTTGCCACGTTTATAAGGTGCTGCAGTGGTTGGGTTTTTTTGTGTGTGGTTTTTTTGTTTTGTTTTGTTTCTCTCCTTTGCACTGGAAAAAAAATGGAAATCTTGTAATCTTGAGATAAATATAACGGTGTGAAGCTTCCCATTCTTCTCCAATCTGATTGCAGTGGCAGGAAAAAGGACACAGGCCTAATTAAGGTGCCAATCAAGCAAAAATGGGATGCATTGTTTTTATACAAATGCTTCATTTAACCCTTTGTGTGCCATCCATCTTTGGGGATTTTCTGTGCATCCATTGCTTTTCTCCGTTGCCATGAAGTCCAGGCCAGATTTCCGAAAGAGCTTTCAGGGTGACAGCAGCACAAAGGAGCACTGGAAGGCATCGCTGGCAGAGAGAAAGAGTCCCACCAAGCAGTGCCATGGCATCTGATGGCACGCAGCCCATGGGGATGCTGAGAGCTCCATGCTGCCCCCAGAGATGGGAGCCTGCAAAAGTCAGAGCTGGATGGGGAACCCCTTATGTTCTTCAGCATCAGAGGTTCAATGGGCCTTACCAAGCAGTTACTGCTTGGCCCCAGACACACATGTAGAGTTTCACCCCAAAGCTTAGCAGCAGTCCCTGCTTATCGACCATGAACTGCTCTGCAGCACTGCACAGCCCTCTGCCTCTTCACATGTCTCCATGGAGCATGAAAGTTATGGGTGTTCCTCTATTTGGGGCACTGTGGCATTTCACCCCCACGGCCTCAGCGTTTCTCTCCCCATGGCTGCTGCTGCCCATCCCTCCTCACTGTATGAGAGCTTTATCAAGTGCCACAAGCAGAGATTTTTGGCAGCTGTCCACGTGGCAAGGAGAGAAAGAAAGCACAGACAGCCCCATATCTGCATCCCAGGGCTGTGCTGGGTTGTTTGCAAAAAGGGTCAGCAGAGGGACGTGGGAAGGGGCTGGCACTGCATGCTGGTGGCATTGAAAACTGCAGCACTGCAAATGCCCTTCACACTGTGGGGGGTGCAGGGGGGCAGCTGCACTCCCTTCACATGGGACACCATGAAATGCAAAGGTCTCCCTGCCCTTCCTCAGCATCCTGGCACTGTGATGTTACCTCCTCCCTCCCATTACCCTGCTCATTTGGCTGCCTATCTCCCCACTCAATGTTCACCTTGCAAGCAAGCAGAGGAGGAAACTGAGGCAGCATTGGGTGGCCATGGGGTGAGCCTGCAGCAGAGCAGGCTCCCAATCAGTGTTGTAGCATCACGAGCCTTTACAGCACAGGAAACGTGTGATTATATCCCTGCCTGCCTCTCTTCCAGGTGCTTGCCTTAGCTTTGTAATACCCAAGAAGGAAATCCATCTGAGCTGCTGTTGTCCTGCTGTTTAAAACTCAATTTTCCATCAGTATTGCTTCATTTTTACCAAGTTGCTTACATGCTTTATGTTATTCTCCCTTTTTTTTTTCTTCCATTTTGCTGCAGTATTTCAGAACATTTCGTTTCTTGCGCTTCTTGGTAAATAGCCTGGAAGTAAGAGAGTCAAAGGCATGAGAAAAGGAGTTGTGTTCATTGTTGTGATGTTTCATATCTACTGCACTTGTCAGTGCAGAACACCAGGGGAAAAAACAAAGGGGGGGAAGAGTGGAAATGAAGGAAGATGCTTCGTGCTTCGTCCTCTTTGACTTTCAAAGTTGGAGGACAGAGGGGGCTGCCCGTCTCTCATTCCCAGCATCACGCTTTGACTACATAATCAAAAATAAACCCCATCTGATTCCCTTTGGCGATGCTTTTCCCAGGCCAGGCAATGTTGCAGCACCGTTCAGTGCATGGCTGGAGCACATCAGCTGCAGCAACCCAAAATGATGCCCAGAGCCTGAGTTTTCACACCAAATACAAGTACCCCTAAATCAAATTTGATTGCCAAGCCAGACAGAACCACAGGGATAATCAGTTAATAAAACTTTGCAGTTACATGCTGCTTTCATTGAGGATTTAAAGACCTCCACAAAGGTCAGCGCTACAGCGATGAGAATTTTCCAGCTGAAATGTTTTCACTGGGAAGGAAATGAAGAGAACTGTTCTCTTTCCTGGAAGTTTGAAATCTGGCTGCTTTTAATGCAGGCAGGAGATCATATTCTTTATGGAAGGGGAAAAAAAAATAATAAAAGAATTGCCATGAAAATGTTAATGGAGTTCTGAAGCTTCGCAGAGGAGCCTTACACGTGTAGCAGCCTTAATATGCATTAGTACCCACGGTCTGCAAGCAAACAGCATTTTGCAGATTAAACTAAAACACACCGGGAAAGCCTGACAGCTGTTTAGGAACGCGATTCCTGCTGAAACGGGGCGGCGTGGATGCTAAGCTGCAGCTCGCTTTGTGCTCCCAGCGCTGGCAGCGCCCCGACCTTTGCAGGCACCTCCGCGCCACGCGCAGGGCTTTGGGGCTGCTGGCGCTGCTGCACGAGGGGCGGGAGGACGGCTGCAAACCCCCCAGTTTTAACGTGCACCCTTCCGTCCCAAAGCTCAGGGGTGGGGAAGCAGCACGCGCGTGCAGAAGTGCTCACGTCGGTTTTGTTTTCGGAGCGAGGGAGGACGAACGTTAAGCGAAGCAGCCGACCCTGAGCTCCCACCTCTTAACCGCTAACGGACCGCCGCCTCGAGAGCGGCACGAGCCCCAATCGATCCAGCTGGGCGGTAACCCGGGCAGCTCATTAGCACGACTAACGAGCTCTACCCCCAGCGCAGGCAGCTCCTCCCAACCCCCCGGGGCTCCCAGGAGCTGCGGCGCAGCGCGGAGAGCCGGGCCGGCCCCGTTTGAAGTTCACCTTACAGCACAGCAGCGAGTAATTAGAGCCTATAGCTTTAATTACTTTCCAACGCTCTTTCTCTAATTGTGCCGAGCGGCCCAGCTGCCCCTCCCGGGGTCGGGATGGGATGGGATGAGGTGCGATGTGCGTTTGTGCTGGCTGAAAAGTTTCATTTTCCCTCATTATTGATTTGTTATACTGGAAAGGAGCCCTAAAGCCCATCAAGGGTCACTGCAACAAACGGTCAGCCCTACGGCCCCACCTGGGAGCTCCCCCCCCCCCCGGCGCGGTCCTTCTACACCTGTGGCTGCACAGATGTAATTTAAATCCGGGTCGGGGCGGTTAGGACTCGTTTTTTGGCTCCTGACTTCAGGTGTGTGGGCCTGCTTTGCTTCCTCCTCCCCTCCAGAAAAGAAGGTGAGGAGGGAAAGATGTTGCCCAACTCCAAAGTGCTTGCAGTGCTGCTTCGTTCTCCTTTGAGGAAATCAGGGTGAGCTGGTGGGGGGGGATTTTCTTTTACTGTAGTCACACTTGTATCCTTATGTGCATCGCGTGCTGCTTGTGAGTCTGGAGCAGCTGTGCAGTAGCAAATGAGGTGGATTTTTTTTAATATGTACGTCTTGCGGTTATTTTTTAACTTTCATTTTCTTTGTGTTTTTGTATCTTGTAAGGGTTTGGGATTTTTTTGTTTGTTTTATTTATTTATTTGGGAGGGGGGGGAGGGGGGGTTAGAATTGCAATTTCCCCCGATTACAAAAACCAGCCGACAGGCTGCCTCCCCCCTCCCCCCCCTTCGCCTTAGCTCACAAGTAACTCCCCCCACAGCCCGGTTCCCCCCTCCCACAAAAGCCGGGCTGCGCCGCGCCTCACTCCTCGCTCCGCCACTCCCGGCAGCGCTGCTGGGGGAGGAGCTGGGGGGGGCGGCGGCGGCGGCGATGGAGCCGGAGCCGCGTGAGCGAAGCCGGCGGGCGGCGGCCTGAACCCCCCGGCACGGAGCCCCCCACCTCGGCGCAGAGCCCACCCTGAGGAATGAGCGCTTTCCAGGCAGACCTCCTCCTCCTCCTGCTCGCCTGCTTCCTGCTCAGCCACGGTAAGAGCTGGCCCGGCACTGAGTTTCGAGCGGGGCGGGCGCGGGGGGAGCCGGATTTCGGGTTGCGGGGACCCCTTCTGCCCCTCGAAGTGCTTTTTGCCTTTCCCTGGATGAGGGAGGACTGCGGAGTTGTTTTGCATGCATCCCCACTGAGGCGGCTCGCCTTATAAAAAAAAAAAAAATCTTTAGCATGCAAATGAGTTCTTTCTGCTCCAGCTCCGCTAATTAGACGGTGTTTGTGTGTAAACACGTCTCTGCTCGGCGACCCCGGGGCCGTGGGGCTCGGTTTTGGGCTGCGAGAATGGAGGGCAGCGGGCGATGCGGCTGTGGAGCGCTTCGGGGGGCGGCGGGGGGTGTTGAGCACACGGGAGGTGCTGAGCGCAGAGTGGGGATCCCGAGGGCTTTGGAGGTGGCTGCATCCCTATCGCAGCCCCCGACAGCGCGGAGCCGGGGATGGAGCTCGGCGAGCAGCGGGAATGCGCTCGGTAACTTTGCTGCCGGCGTCCTCGCCCTAAAGAAAAGGATGCGGGGGAATGCGGTGCGGGATGCGGCTCTCGGTGCGCGGTCCCTGGGCTGTGTCACCTGTGGAGGACGCGGGGCTCCGTGCCGCTCGGTGCCGGAGCTCAATGCCGTCTGTTGTGTCGCGCTGCCGCGGTCCCGGAGCCGGCGCTGCTTTGTGTCAGGGTAGGGCTTGGGGCTGCTGGAATAAAGGGAAAAAAGCAAACCCATGCAGCTCCTCCATCTGTTGATTAAATGAAGGAGAAAACTTTTGGAGAGAGCGGAGCTGCTCCACGGGCAGCTGGGTCTGTGCTCGGCCAGACGTGATGCTGAGCATCCCCCCACCCGCTGCCTTCCCCTATGCCCGGTGTTCCGAGCAGGCTGAGCTCTGAGCTGTCCCCGGCTTCTTCCCTCCGTTCAGCTGTGATGCTGAGCTGTTGCTCTGCGCTCCCTTTCCCTCTCTCACTCTCTCTGCTAGTACTAATATTCCTTCAGGGGGAAAGCTGTGTTTGCATTCTCCTTTCCTTCTGCACAAAAGAAACCCACTGTGTCTTCCATGTAGATTTCTGGCTGAATAAATCTGAACTCCCCGGTGCAGTGGGGATGGGAGCAATTTAGGATCTCATCCCGGCCTCTCTGCTCCCTCAGCTGTCTCAGCTCTCCATGGGTCAAATGGCAGTTTGCTCATGGAGCCAAAGAACTTTGTCTCAGATCCAGCAGGGATTTGTTTCTCTTTTTTTTTTCTCCCCTTTTTTTCCCTCCTCCATATTTGCAGCCATTATTTTCTATAAGGGCTAATGCACTTTTTAATAGTGGCTTGAATGCCCCTGTGGCTCTTAGCTGTGTCTTCCTGGGCCGTGTGCATCTGCTACCTTGCTTATTCACGGTTGTGAGGCAGAGATAGTGCCGTGCAGAGCATTTCAGGCTGCTTCCTCCTATAGGAAGAGCCAAATGCATTTCTCCACTTGCTGTTTATAGTATAGAGGAAAGGGGGCTGTTGGCAGCGTGTGGTTTTCTCCCTTCAGGGTGAAGCCATGCAATGGGATTTCATGCAAAAGACTTCCCCAGCCACAAGGTGCTTTGGGGAAGGAGCGGCCTGGGTGCGGGAGCTGAAGCTTATTTCCTAGTGTCTGTCACGTTTGCCTCCCCCAGAGCAGCTGCTGGGGTGGTTCAGGTGTGTCCAGATGTGTTACAGATGTGGTGTTGCTTTCTGTGGGCAGCAGTGCTCCCAGCAGCTGCTGGGCTGTGGGGTGGGGATGCTCTGTGTTCATTCAGAGGGCACTCATGCCCTGCTCTGCTGGGAGTTGGTGGGCCAAAACTTGCTTGAAGGACTAATTAAAACCCTTTGACCCCTTAAGGAGTTCCGATGGCCCCTTTCTGTGTGCAGGGGGCAGACAGAGCTGTGCCTTCTCTGCAACAGCTGAGTGGATTGGAGGGATTTGCCATAGTAAGGCAGTCAGGACTTAAATTCCTCCTAGCCAAGGGCAGCCAGGATGAGCTCTGCAGAAAACCTTGCTATTATACCAGATCCTAGCTATACCTTCCTTTACAGAAGTCCCCCCGTGCCCTCGGTGGCATTTTCCTTCACTGTTTGTGTGTCTGTGCCCTTGGGTTTGTACTTCATGGCCTCTGTGCCTCCTGGTGGCACGCTGGCTGCCTGCTGCTCCTGTGAGGCCTGCAGGCTGAGATGGAGGGGGGGGAAAGGTGCTCACTGCTCCCGGCCAGGGGCTGCTGCTGAGCACAGGCAATAGCCTGAGAGGAGGAACTCTGGGTTTCTGTGCTTCTCTTGAGGTAATCCAGGAAAAGCTGAGTGCCTTGTCTTGACTTTCTGGTGTCTTTCATCCTTGCAAACAGGCTCAAGCAGACTCATTTTCTGAAAGTTACTCCTCCGTAAAGCTGTCTCCCCCTGCCCTCCTCTGCTGCAGTGTCATGCAAAGCGGATGAGGCTGGAAGCAATGGAGGAAGTGCCCTGGCCCCGGGGCTGTGGGAAGGAGCGTCCCTAAATACTGTGTGCATGCAACCACCGCCTCCTCCTGCTGCTCTGTGCTGCAATAACCTACATGCAATTGCAGGATCAGAAATGTATCTTGGATGGGAAGATTCCTGTCTGCCTAGGAATCTACTTCCAAAGATGCTCCCTTTCCCTCGGCATGATGAGTTCTGAGTTCTCTGGGTGTTGCAGGGTGGTTTTCTCCTTTTCTCCTTCACAGTTCACTTGGTTCCTCCCTGGAAGTAAATTCTCTACAATCACATAGGGCCTGATGGGGATTATAGCATTGTGGGGAAGGTGCTGGGAGGAGTTTGCACAAGGGCTGATGCATCATGCTGGGTACAAGGGGTGCTTGGGCTTATGCTGCCTTCAGCAGCCCTGGGCCTGGAAATGAGTAATTAGGGGCAAAGCTGGTTGCTGTATCCCTGCAGAGAGCAGAGAAGCATTGCGAGGGAAGCATCTCAGCCCCTTTCCTTAAGGCAGCAGGTGAATCCTCTGCTCTCATGTTAGGGAAGTGCACAATGGTCTGAGGGCATTCTCACTGTGTGCTGTCCTGGGGAAGCAGTGCAGGATTGCTTTTTCCCAACGTCTGTTTAATAGCATTTAGATTTCTGCATGCTTCCTCATTTCCCATCTGTACCTCCTGCAGTGAGATTTGCAGGAGGACCGCAGCCAACTTTGCTCAAGCTGGCTTTTCTTGTGGGGTTTTGGTGATCTGAAAAGACCGAGAGGGAGGAGCTGTGATTTGTTTGGGTGCCCTTTGCCAAAGGAGAGAAAGAGAGGAGAAGCACCTGCCCTGGTGCTAACACTGCAGCCCTGCCCACCTCCAAGGTGCTGGGCACTCTGAGCATTGCGCACACATCTGGAGCAGATGTCAAATGCTTCGATTCACTGTCACCACTTCAGGGCCTCCTGTGGCTGGACTGCTTACGTTAGAATAAAAAAAGCTTAATGCTCTTCATTTGTAGCTGTAAGTAAAGGGGAGAGAGGCTGATGAGCTCCTCAGGTCATGAGCTGGCAGAGGATCAAGTTCTTTGAACAAACTGTTTGCTTACACAAAGATGCAAGGGGGGAAGCGTGGCTTGCTTTGAGCCTCGTTCTTTTCAGCCTGATTTCATGATGAGTTCTGCAGGTTTGTGCCATGCTCCCTGGGTGGAACTGCTGCCAGAGATCTGCTGCACATCACTCCCAAGGTCCCTCCTTGGGACCAAGTAGGATTTAACAGCTTCTTTTTTCCTTTATTTTCTACCATTGGTTGGTCTTAAATAACAAGTGGTGAAGGCCCTAGTTTAGGTTGTTCCATAGCAATGCTGGTCAGTCTTTTGGCTCCACTGGGGGCTGCTTCTGGCTGGAGACAGAAGTGACTGCACAGACATTATCTTCTAAATCAGGAGGCAGTGAAACAAATAGGTTGTAAATCAGTCTCTTATTTGCTGGGGTTTAGGGCAGTTGAAGCAGTGGTTTTTAAGGTGCTCTGCCCTCCCTTGGGACTGGCAGGAGTCCCAGAGCTCTTACAGGGGGTGTGAAGCCGCTGCCTGCAGGATTAACTTCGACATGCCAAGAAATGCACAGGGCTTCTTTTCTCTTGGCTGGGAAGAAATGAAGCTTAAAACCTGAGCTGCCCTTTCCAGGCAAGGGGTGGGTTACCCCCCCGCACTCGTGTGCCTTCTCTTTCCCTCTGTGCCAAAATATGGGGAGGGGGGATAGAGCCATTTCTGATCTGTGCGTTGCAGTGGGACAGAACAAATGCTGGGTTCTGATCTTAGAAACTGGCCTAACAGATGTCCTGGCTTGATGTGCCTTCTGAGTATAATAAAGGCTGTTTATTCATCGCCTTGCTGGCAAGCCCCAGCTCGAGCGTTTGCCTTTCCCTGGTGGCAGCCTCCAAAGTGGAGCAGAAGGAGCTGTAGGTCACTTGGCTGTTCCGCAGCTCTTGCTTTTACTGAGCTGTATTAAGAAGCTGAAAAGCAAAATATTCCTTGAGTTATGGCTCCGGGCTCCTGCCTATTTGCTGTCACATGCTATGCAAGTAGGAGGTGGAACGCACGCATTGTTAAAGTCAGATGCTAACTTCAGGATAAGATCTTGTCTTAACGCGTTCCTTCAACGCCTCCTCTTGCAATGGGAGATACTGCAGCATCTCCATCTCGCAGCGGGGCAGGAGGTGATTCTGAGGGCTCTGCACATCAGGTGTGAACCAGGTCAATGGGAACTGCCTTCCATTTCCCAGGACTTTGTGTTTGGTGGAACTGCTGTGCTGGGGTGATGTGTGTGGCTGTGTTGTGTGCTGCCCACCTCAAGCTGCTGCTGATGTGCTGGGGGCTGTTGCTGTCGTTGGGTGGCATGATGGTGATGGACACACCTTGCTGTGCGTGCTGGGATGCTGAAGGATGAACGTTTCGGGTGTTTTTGGTGTATCCTCTGAATGGACCCCAGCTGTGAGCCAGCGGAGCTTTGCTGGTTACAAATTAACTATGCAGTAAGAGCGGAAAGGACGAGCTTTCTCAAACTT